ACATGCATACAAATTAACCGAATCATATAAATGGCTTTCAAATCCCAAAACCTCCAGTATCTTTTACTAAATCCCAAAACCTTTTTTTTTTAAAGAAAAACAATCATATAAATCGTTGAACCCATTGTCTAATCTGATCTGGAGCCTTGCGCCTACCATCTTCTCTGATCAGCAACAAGGCATCTTCGTCTGAGAGTCAGGAGACAAAGGTGATGACATGTGGTAGCTGCTATGATGTCGACATGGTCAATTCGAGAGGTAAGAAGGAGAAGAGAACCAAAAGGTTGAGAAACAGAGAAAGAAAATGGGGGAGTTTAGGAGTATGAGGAGAAGAGTGAACGAGTCTTTAGCAGCCTATGCTAATGACCTACCAAGTTGCATTGTTTATCCAGAAGATGAGGAAGGTAATTCGTTTGAGATAAGGCATCACAAGTTGGAAATTTTGCCTACTTTTTAGGGGTTATCTCATGAGGATCTTAACATGCATATCACTGAATTTTATTATGGGATCCAGGAACGTTTTGGTTAATGGATTTTCAGTCGAATCAATCAACATCGTCTTTTTCCTTAAACTCTAAAGGAAAAGGTGAAGACATCATTTTTTACACTTCCATATGGCATCATTACTTCCTGGGAGTAGTTGAATGAAAAATTCCTAAGGAAGCTCTATCCGGCTTCCAAGACTTTTGTTATGAAGAGAGAAATTTTGTCGTTTGCTCAGAAACCACATGAAGAGTTTCACAAGGCATGGGAGCGGTACAAGGAGTTATTCATAAAGTGTTCCCACACTGACACTGATGGAGACACATGAATGAATCTATTCTTTAATAGATTGAATTCAACTACCAGTGATGTTAATACATCATCCAGAGCGGCGTTTATGTCCAAAAAAGGTAGGGAACAATTTGACTTATTTGAGAACATGGCAGCTAAATCTCAATAATGGACAGTTGAATTGACACCAAAGGGGTATTTTTGAGATGTTCATGGGATCTCTAAAGTGTTTGCACATGTGGAGAAATTGGAAAAGAAATTTGACGAAAAAATTGAACTTGATTTTCCAGCAAATTACTACACTTATACAGCAGCCACCACATGTGACAATAACTTGTATAATCTGCATCATGCCTACATATGATTTATTGGGTTGCACGCTTAAGGATGTTTATCCGAGTTAGTGAAGGAACATGTCAACATGATGAATAATTATTAACGACCGAAGAATGACCCATACTCAAATTTCTATAACCAAGGATGGAGAGATTGCCCAAATTTCAAGTGGGTTAGGAATAAGCAGGCCAAGCCATACCCTCAACAACCAGTACAATAACCTACCGCACTAGCCAAAGCTACATGGGATATTAGACTTAAAAAATTGGTTGAATTTACGAGGTCGTAAATTGATCACCATAATTAAGAAATGTAGAATATACATGCGTCCATAAAGAATTTAAAGAAATAGGTTGGGTAGTTGGTTAACTAGATGACTGAGAGGAAAAAGGAAAATTTCATAGTTAAACTGTCCTTAATTCTAAAGGGTATGATGAATGTAGTGTAGTCAGGGCATTAGGTGATGAGAAAAGTATTGATGAGAGGAAAAAAAAAATGAAGAAAAAACAGTAAATAGCTTAAGGCCAACAACTAAACAGGCCCCAGCTGAACTTACTATTGCTACTGAATGTGTTTACGTGTCCTTGATGTCGTATCCCGAGCGTTTGAAGCATAAAGCTAAAGATTAGGAATTGAGGGATTTCATGCAGACAGACATTGGCTAGAGTTTAGATTAATCTTCCATTGTTCGATGCAATGAAAGAACATGCCATCTTATGCAAATTTTTTAAAGGATATGTGCACTAACAAGAAAAAGCTTGTGGATTTTAAGAAAGTGGTTCTCACTGAGCAATGCAGTGCAATTTTATTGTATAAACTGCCACTAAAGTAAAAGGATCTAGAGAGTTTTACTATTTCTTGCACTTTCGGAATTTCTGATTTTAAACATGCTTTAATTGATCTAGGTGCTAGCTTTAATTTATGCCGTATTCTACATTTCAAAGACTAGGACAAGGAGAGCTTAAACCTACATCGATTATTCTTTGATTAGCATATCGTTCTGTCATCTATCCTAGATGCATCATTGAAGATCTCATTATCAAAGTTGATAATATCTATCTTCCAACGAATTTTATGGTGTTAGCATTGATGAGAACATGGAGACTCCTATCATTTTGGGACAACCTTTCATGGCGATTGCTTTCTTTAATTGATGTGGAATCTGGGACCTTGACTTTTAGAGTTCAGAACTAGTTTGTGGTTTTCAGTTTATTTGAAGCAACCAAAAGGCTTGTCAATCAGCAAGACTATATGAGAGTTGATGTTTTAGATGAGATCATTCATACTGATGTTGTGTTTCGTTTATCCCTTGATCCACTGCTGAACATGTTACAAGGGTTCAAGACTAAAGAAATCGGAGATGAAGAAGCCTTGGAGTATGTAACTGCCTTGGATAGCTTGCCAGTTTAATTACCTATATAGAGACGTGTTTATGAGAGTTTGGCGGAGTCTAAAGATCCATTGCAACCATCAAAATCGTAGCCACCAAAATTGGAGCTGAAGCCACTACTTGAGCACTTGAAATATGCCTATTTAGGAACTGAAACAACGCTGCCAATTATCATAGCTTCAAAATTGTTGCGAATCTTGAGAAAGCACCAAGATGTAATAAGATGGACCATTGCCGACATCAAAGGAATCAACCCAGCTATTTGCATGTACCAAATCTTGTTAGAGGAGGGCGTCAATCTCACTATTGATACTCAACATCGATTAAAGTTGATAATGAAGGAGGTGGCGCAGAATGAAGTTATGAAACTTTTGGATGGTGGTATTATCTATCCTGTATTTGATAGCAATTGGGTTAGTCATACTTAGGTGGTGCCTAAGCGTACTGGTATATAATTGTGAAAAGTGACAACAACGAACTTTGTGCTTACACGTTTGGCAATTGGGTGGCGTATGTGCGTTGATTACAGAAAGCCTAACGCATGTACCAAAAAAGATCACTTTCCGTTGATTTGGCTGGTCGTGCTTTCTTCTCTTTCTTAGATGGTTGTTTAGGGTATAATCAAATTCCAATTGCACCTGAGGATTAAGAAAAGACAACATTTACATGCCCTTTTGGTAAGCTTACATATAAGAGGATGCCATTTGGGTTATGTAATGCACTAACAACTTTCCAACTTGCATGATGAACATATTTTTGGGCCTGGTCAAGCGAATTGTTGAGGTATTTATGGATGATTTTTATGTGTTTGGTGAGGTATTTATGGATAATTTTAGACTATTTTTTAGAAGAACATGGATAACGATGATGAATCTTGTGACAATGTTTGTAGTAAAATATCTTTTAGTTTCTTAGTGTTGTGTCAGAAGCACGGTGATAACGTGTTGTGGCCTATTTTAGTGAAGGAAAAGAGAAAGTGTGGCAAGAGAGAAATTTTGTGTGTTTTATGCCTAGCGCCTTTAGTTATAATAATAAATTGGACATGATTTCTTGCCTTGTAGATAATACAATCATAAAGAATAAAATATTCTAGTATGTAATTATAATATTATTATGTGAAAAAGAAAGGTTTAAATGTTAAAATGGTCCATGTGTTTTAGTCATTAGGTCAATTTAGTCCCTGTGTTTTCAATTTGGCCAAGTTGGTTTTTGTGTTTATTTTCGTTAGCCAATTAAGAACATTTCCATCTAATTTCGGTAATTTTTTTTATAAATTATGATAAACTTATTTATAAAATTATTTATTTGATTTAAAATATTTAAAAATGAAATAAAACAAAAAATTAAAAGAAAAATTATTCTTCTTCCAATTTTCCGACCCCCCTAACATTACCCTCTCTCATTTCTATGTCAAAACCTTAATCATTTTTTAGATTGGAAGTTTTAACTCTTATATATGTTATTTCTAATTGATTTGCATTTTTTTGTAAAGAGAAAGGGTAATAATATATAATATAATTGTTCTTATGAATTTAAAAAAAAAAATTGAATGAAATATCCTTAATTGGCTAACAGAGACAAACACATGGACTAAATTAGCCAAATAATATAATTGTTCTTATGAAATTTTTAAAAGAGATTGAATGAAATACCCTTAATTGGCTAACAGAGATAAACACAAGAACTAAATTAGCCAAATAAAAAACACAGATCCTAAATTTGCCATGACGCGTGACCATTTTGACTTTTAAGCCAAAAAGAAACATATATTAAAGAGTAAATTACATAGTAGCCCCTCATGTTTGAGGTCAATTACAACCCTATACAACAACTTTAAAACATTTCACTTTCATACATTCAATACCATTTTATTTCAAAATAACACCTCCGTTAGATTTTCCATCTATTAGTCTGTTAAATGCTGACGTGACTGCCACATTTGTGCCACGTGGCTGCCAAATGTGTGCCACGTGGAAAATTTTTTTATTACCCTATTGAACAAAAAAAAAAAAAAAAAATTGAAAACCCATAATTTCATCTCGTGCCTCCCTCCCTCCCTGCACCTTTCATCTCTCCCTCTCCATGCCACTTCCTCCCTCCCTGCACCCTTCATCCCTTCCTCGCCATGGAACAAACATTGCAAATCCCTACAATTCCACGTGCCATGGCTTGATACAAAACTCAGCAAATCCAAATCCAAAAACCCATTTAAAAAAAAAATTGAAAACCAGAAACCAGAAACCCATTCCCCCGACCCTCCTCCCACTCTCCTCACTCTCTCTCTCAAACCCCAAACCCCCCAGATCCAAAACCCACACAACTCCGCCGGGTCACCACCGCCAACGCCTTCCTCCTCAGCGGTTTGACCCTCCTCCCACTCTCCTCACTCTCTCTCTCGAACCCCAACCTCCCCAGATCCAAAATCCACACAACTCCGTCGGGCCACCACCGCCGGTGCCTTCCTCCTTAGCGGTTCGAACGGCTTGATTGGTTGAACCGGATGCTGGAACGGCGGCTTGGGACCTTAAAGATTGGAACTTGCGGGGGTGGGGGGTGTTGGTGGCGGGTGGATGGAGGAGGCTGTGAGGAGGGTGAAGGAGGAATGACAGATGAAGTGGAAGGTGAGCAGTTCGGTGGTGTTGGGATTGGGAGTGGGGATGAAGATGGTGAAGGGAATGATTTTTGGGAGGTGGAATTTGTGGGATTGGGTTGCAGGGAAAAGGCGAGGCTCGGGTTGGGGGGAAGGAGGATTTAACGGGAGTGGGTCGTCGGGGGGGGTGGGATTTGAAGGGAGTGGGTCGTCGGGGGAAGGGGATTTAACGGGAGTGGGTCGTTGGGGAGGGGGGGTGGGATTTGACGGGAGTGGGTCGTCGGGGAAGGGGGATTTGACAGGAATGGTTCGTTGGGGGTGGGAGGGAGGAGGAGGTTGCTACGCTGGGTTTCTGGGGGGATTAATGGGGAGGTGGGTTTGGGATTAATTGGTTTCTGGTTTTGGGGGTTACGGGTAAAGCTTTCAGGTTTTTTTTTTTTTTTTTTTTTTAATATTTAGAAGATTAGATTTAAAAAAAAAAATTAAAAAATTATTTTTTTTTGCCACATGGCAGCCTCATCAGCACAAATGTGGCAGCCATGTCAGCATTTAACAAACTAATGGATGGAAAATCTAACAGAGGTGTTATTTTGAAATAAAATGGTACTGGATGTATGAAAGTGAAATGTTTTAAAGTTGTTGTATGGGGTTGTAATTGACCTCAAACCTGAGGGCTACTATGTAATTTACTCTATATTAAACATATATCGGTTTCCTTCCTTCCCGTAAGCCGTCGTAGAGGCGCAGAGAAAACAAAACATTTTCTGACTGAAGCCGCTGAACTGCTCAACTCAAGGTCCGTCGCGAGATCTCTCCGTTTGGGTCCAATCGGTAACAGAAGTCGTGTCGCCAAGACAGACGATCCAGATCGCGATTCCTCTCCGTTTGGGATCGTGTGATCCGGAATGCAGCCCCGCCCTGATCCATTAGCCGATAATATGCAGAATTTGAATCTTAATCGGCCGCCTTCCATGCCTAATTCTGCCCCTCCTAGACCATCCCCTTTCGGCCAACCGCCGCCTTTTCCTTCATCAGCCCCTCCTGCTGCTGCACCACCTCCTTTTTCACGGCCTGGCCCTCCCCCGGCTGCATTTGCAAGACCTACAGCACCAGCACCGCGATCGGGGGCCCCGCAACCAACATTATCCCCTGCCACCACCCCCGTAAAACCCTCCGGGCAGCCCGTTGGCCAGCCTTCATCTTTTCCGTCTCGACCGCCTCCTGTGGGTGGGGTAGCTACTGCGTCTGCGCCATCGCCAATTGGTCCAGTTTCGACGCCAGTGCCGGCATATCCTCGGCCAGGTCCTCAGAGCATGCCGCCGACGACTGCACCAGGTAGAATGATGAGTAATGGGCCGCCAATGTTTGGTTCCGGGGCTATGCCGGGTGGGCCTCGTTTCCCTCCGAGTGGAAATGCATCTCAACCACCTGTTGGGCATCCACCAGCAATGGCATGGGCACCACCAATGGGTCCTCCACGAACTCCAACCATGCACTCTGTGCTGGGTGATCCAGCAGTTAGTGGCCCACCAGGTACTACTGTTCAGCAGCCACCACCATTTTCAGCAGCACCGCCATTTCCAGCAGCACCTCAACCAATGCGGCCACCACCTCCAGGTTCTCCCTATGCCTCACAGACGTGGCAAGTGCAACAAGGACAGGTGAGTGATTTATATTCTTCTTAAATTACTATGGTATCAAATTTCATATTAATTTGAGTCAACTGATAGAATTGGACACTTACTGTATAAAGCTAAGGTATATTGCATACCGAAAAAGCGCCAAGGCGTAATGGCAATTATCATCTATTTTATGAGTAGTGATTGAAGGTTGAAACTTGTTTCCTTGCAAGAACAACATAAACCAATATAAGTTAACTGAAACTAGAATGATGTCTTTCCTCCTTCAGTACACATGATATATATTATCGCTTTGTAGCCGACCAAAGAAAAAAAGTGAACTTGCTGATAAGTGTGAGCAAATCAACACACACTAACCACTGTGGACGCTTATCTTCATTATCCTCCACTCCGCCCTCGATTTAAGTAAAAGCACACTCTTTCTAGTGGATGCTTTCAAGTTTTTTGTTGACAGCTTGTATATAACAAAAGTACAATCACAATCCTTTTAAAATGTTAGTTATTTTCCTGTATTGTTATTTCTAAAACATTATGATTTAGTATGTTCAAGCATGGTGTTGTAATGTATAACCTTTTGTACTATTGTTTTCTTCTCTTTTGTTTTTCATTTAATTTATTAGGAAAATGCAATTATCAATTTCTTTTCTTTCTACCAATGCTTATGCAAATATGGTGGAACTTAGCGTTCTGATGGAGGAAAAAAGGATGAATGCATGAATTCGTTTCTTCTTACTTTGATTTGATTTCTGAAATTTTCTGAATGTCGGTAGGTGGCTCCACCTTCACATTTTCCGGGTTCTGCTCAACCACCTAGGATGTTTGGAATGCCACCCCCACCGTTATCAAATCAGTCCATGACTACTATCTCACCTGCTGGTCAAACTGGTACTCCTTTGGCTGGGTCATCCAAGATTGATCCCAAATTCCTCGGCCTATACCAAGTTCATCGGTGCTCATTCATGAAACTCGTCAGGGCAATCAGGCAAATCCACCTCCGGTATTTATATATCCATAAACTTAAAAGAGTTTGATTACAATATTTGCTTTAGCTGTGTATCTTTAATACGTTTTTACTTCTGTACTCTCTTCTCTTTCTGGGTATGTAATTTCACTCTATTTTTGTTGCACATATTTATGCTGCAAAGTATGTTTAAGCATGGTGCAAAAACTGGATATTGTTTATCCCTTGCGTTCTTCTGATTGCTTTATTATTTTGAAGCCTGCTACAACTGATTATATTGTCAGAGACACTGGAATTGCAGTCCACGATACATGAGGTGCACCATCAATCAGGTTTGGGTTTAACTTTCATGAATTGGCTATTTGTTATTGTGTTTGTTTCTACTTTAATAAAAGTTTAGTAATGTTATTATGTTTTTGTCAATTTACCAGATACCATGCACTGCTGATCTTTTAACAACATCAGGGATGCCCTTAGCTTTGTTGGTTGAACCTTTTGCCCTTCCTCATCCAAATGAGGAACCAATCCAAGTACTTAATGATTTCTCTTTTCCATATATGTGTGTGTGTTTATATATATATATATATATTTTTTTTTTTTTGTTTTTTTTTTTGAGAAAGAGATTATTTTGATGCAAACTAGGAAATAAAGCAACATAGAGCAACAGAAGTGGTCAAAAGAACCACTGGGAGTAGAGAAGAAAATGAAACCATAAAAGCTTAAAAAAAAATTGTCACTCCCAAGCAGAAGTAAAGCACCGCACCTGCCGGTCTAGCCCAATATTAGTAAAAAGAACTATCTCTAAACTCTGGTCAACTCTAGCTTATATAATCCTCATCCAAAACAACTCGATCCCAATCCAACAAATCTTCAAATACCCTTTTTTCTTTACATCAGACCACCCCGAGCACAGTAAGAATGATGCAGCCCCACACAATCTAGCCCCTTTGCCCTTGAAAAAAATTCATATAGCTCTCACATGGAAAGAGAAGTTGGCCTTGGAATAACCCAGATTAGATCAGCCTTCTTATACAGCTTGAACCAAAGACCCATCATCACAGGGCAGTTGGGGAAGGTGTGATCCACCAGCTCATAATTTTCCTTGCAACCAACGAGGGGATAAACAGATGATTGATCTCCTTTGAACCATATCATTAGCATTCATCTTAACCTGAGCTACCAGCCAGGACAGCAACTTCACCTCAGAGGAAGCTCTGGATTTCCAAATCAGACAATAGACAACTTAGTTGTATCTTCTAACAATATGATAATTTATCAATCACTTTGTGAATCACGAATTCATTTCTGTTCTAATAAGAAACAGATTATTAGAATAGAAGATTCAATATCATTCTATGGAAATGAACAATTAGTCCACCAACAAAACAAAAAAAAGAAAAAACGCTGTTGTATCCTTCTAATCACTGTCAATTACACAGAAAATGCAGCTCCCTTATCTACAATGGAGAGTGAAATGGAATTTCCGTACGTATTGAGATCCACTATTCCATACAAATTGAGACCCACGAAGAAACCCAAAATACTCTTCTCACAATAAATCTGCCTTGTTTCCCAATTTACTTTTGTAAATTCTAGTATTTCTTTCTACCTGAAAAAAAAGGGAGAATATTATTGTTCATAACCCATGAAGATGCCCAAAACACTCTTCTTACAATAAATCTGTCTCGTCTCCCAATTTACTTTTGTAAATTCTAGTATTTCTTTCTACCTGAAAAAGAGGATAAGCTAATGCACAAACCTTCCACAATTCTTTTTCCTCTACTAAAAGCACAATGTTCTCTATAATTATAAATGACCAAAACTTCGATCAATTAAACAATCAGAATTTTCATTGAGCTATAATTTTAGTAATGAATTTTTTTGTTTTAGGTTGTGGATTTTGGTGAAAGTGGTCCCGTTCGATGCTCTCGTTGCAAAGGCTACATAAATCCTTTTATGAAGTTCATTGACCAGGGCAGGAAATTCATCTGTAATCTTTGTGGTGAGGAAGATTTCTCTCTGTTTGGTGTTGTGCGTGATCTTTTCTTTCAGTTCATTTGGGTTCTCAAAACTTTTTCAACAATGCTTTTGTTTATTTTTCTTCTTCAAAGTGGTCCTGTTATTTTTTCATGTTTTGTTTTTCTTTTTCATCTTTTCAAGTTTCTGAATATTTTAGTAGGGCTGAGAGTATGTAATATACCATTCCTCTCTTGAAGGTCTCTACTGTGGTCTGTGGTTAAGGTGTAATCTATATGCACAATGTCTATTTATGCAAAAGCAGTGATCCTACAATGTATGCCATTTCTTCTGCAGGATTTACCGATGAGACTCCCCGTGACTACCACTGCAATCTTGGTCCAGATGGTAGACGTAGAGATGCTGATGAGAGGCCTGAGCTATGTAGAGGAACAGTTGAATTTGTTGCTTCAAAAGAATACATGGTTAGTTGATTATGAGATCTGCAATTATAACTTCAGTAAGATTACCACGTTTGGAAACACCTCCTTTATTTTCTATTTTAACAAAAGCATGCAAGACCTTCCTTGGCATGGTTGGCACTTGCCAATAATGGTTGTGTATATTTCCAACACATTCATGGACTTTTTGAAGTTAAAAAAAAATTCACTCTTTCACCCTCTCTCTCTCACACGCGCACACTGTTTTTCATCATTTATACAAGGTTTTGTTCATAACAGAAGTTTTTCTCTATTGGCTCCTCGTTGACAGTATCAGCTGTTTAAAATGTCTTTTTAACCCCATTAGATGGGCTTGTTCCCATTTTTATTT